GTCAACATGCAACTTTAATAATAGTGGTGCTTTTAGTGCCGAAAAGATGGGGGATAAGAAAAGAGCTGTTTTCTCGGAGGATACAAACTAACAATCTGTCAATAATCACTGACTGCTGGTGATTGTTCACATAAGTGTGATCAAGACTTTCCTTGTTTTCATTTGATATTCCCGAGAACAGTCGGATAATGTCATGCCCGATCATTACACAGAAGTGGGCTACCATTTTCAAAGACAACAAAGGCATTTTGATGAGGTCAGTCAGTGAAAATGCCGTTAACCCCGCTGAGTTCCTGTTGAGCTGAAGCCGAGCAGAGGTCAGCCAGTGAACCACGTGGCCATTGGCAGCAGCAGAGGGCCCGATATCCTGGCCCCAATGCAACCTAATGAAATGTGGTAAAGAGGGGGGAGGGGGAGGGAGGGGGCAGTCACCCATGCGGCAGACAAACCTACTCCTGACTTCATTTGTCCCCCAACATTGCCCTCTTGTTCAAGTAATCCCACACAAGTACGCGGCGGAGTTCGGTGCCATGTGTTGTTCGGCGGCATTGAAAGGAGATGAGCCGGCCGGTTACTTCGCAGTAATGTGGGCTTCACTCAGCTGTCATGAGTGATCCTAATAAGGCTCACACAAGGGAGGTGTGGGTGAGGGGGAACCGGGGGTTTTCGCTCCAAATCAGTCGTTTCTCTCCTCGGAAACAAACGTAGTGAGTGAAGAGGGAGATCGTGGCTCGCACAAACACGGATATGTAACTTCCCCGCGTGCAAACAAGTGATCGTTCACGGAAAGTCATTTCAGTTTCTTGTGTAATTTGCTTTCTGCCACAGGGACATTCTGTTTGGGTTGTTTTGTCGAGGGGCTTTCCATGTTTAGACACACTTGGCATTTACATCTTTGTCCCGACAGCTTGGAAATTATTCCTCGGATGAAAGTGAGCAAATACATTGAAATGGCTTTCAGCATTGAAACCTAATCTCAATCTTTGTGCATACCCTTTTATGATATCGCCAAGAAAGTCTATGAATTCACAACAGATATTAAGTGTCCATTAAAAACAATGTGTTGTTAATTATGTGAAACTAGAACCATTATGAATTATTATTTAAAAAGGGTTCCTTGTCTAAAAGCATCCCAATTTTTAACCACTACCTCCCGTTTTCTTCTCCAACCAATGGATGTTCAATCAACACATCAATTCATTGTTTGATAAGTCAGAATCAAGAATTGAAGGATTGTTTGTTAATTAATAAAAGATTGTTTTTGATAATCAATCAATCAATCAGAATCAGGGTCCAGATAAGACCCTACTACTACAAACGACTCCGTTTGTATGCAAGGTGGAACTGATCCAGGCTGTGTTTACTTCCAGACTTTTCAGAGTTAAGTAATGGGGATTTGAAAATGAGTGCGAGTGGTGAAAACCCTTTTAACTTGTCCCTGAGATGAGGAATATGTAACGATAACTCAGTCTGACATTTTTAGTTTCAGTGAGCTATACGCTCTGAAAGCAGACATTTAGCTTTTCTTCTTAAAACATCTTAATTAAACATGAAGCGCTGCTACATTTTGAGTCGGCAAGCATTTCTTGTTGTGTTTTTTAAGGTCCATTCTCATTCGAGTTAAGACGCGTCACCATTCCTTTGAATGTCCTTGAGATGTTCCACATAACGTTCAAGGAACTACTTTATTAGCATTCACAGAAGGTATTGCCGAGGCAGAGATCTGAGGTGACCCAGAAACCAAGGACCCCTCTAACTGGATTACAGAGCTCCTCGGCTTCAACATGGGAGGGTGGCCAGAAGAACACATGCACAGAGTCTACAAGAGGCACGACAAAGATCCAGTTTGAAGAAATTGATGAAGTTGAAATTGAGCTATCAGCCTGTAGTGTTGAGTTTTACAGGGTTTTTTGTAGCTTATTTGTTAGTGACGGTAGATGTATGTACTGTATGTCCATGTGTTGGTACATATCCAATATGCTTGATCTAAATAGTTGAGTTTTAAAGGGTGTTTAATGATTGAGATGTTTACTCCTGCAACCTCCGGGTCGGAAAAGTGAAGCCAAAGTGCCTGAAACATGCATTCTTTCAAAATAGCTAGCAAGGGGCGACTCCTCTGGTTGCAAAATTAAATCTGATTGTATTGAATCTATATGAGAAAATGACTCCTCTCTTGATTTATTACCTCAGTAAACATTGTAAACATAGGTTTATGGTCTCAATCGCTAGTTTCAGGTCTTCTCCAACACAGCGTGATGTATTTTTTTTGTAAATTACGGTCCCAATTAGAGTGAAATTGATCATAAAGCAGGGAATGCTTCAGGGCGGGGCTAAACTGTGATTGACGGGTTGTTATCACGTCGTCGTCCGTGTTTTTGTCTTACAACTTAAAAGCTTTCACAGTGCGTTTTCAGTTCATGAAAGTTCATTGTAACCGTTTTGGTTGCCCAGAAATATCTTATTCATATCTATCTATATCTATCTATATCTATATATATATCTATATATCTATCTATATATCTATATCTATCGATCTCTCTCTCTCTCTAGAGATCTCTCTATATATATATATATATATATATCTAGATGTCGATCTATATATATCTAGATGTCGATCTATATATATCTAGATGTCGATCTATATATATCTAGATGTCGATCTATATATATCTAGATGTCTATCTAGATATATCTATAGATATCTAGATATATCTATAGATATATCTATAGATATATCTATAGATATCTATAGATACAACTACGCTGTGGGCTACTTTTCTCCGGTAGACTCCTAAATTAGTTGTAGGTGAGGAAAATACAGGGGACTTCCTCAGGGGAAACCGATACAAAGATTCATGTTGCAACAGGACAGTGATCCGTATCAAGCAGCCAAATACACCAGCGGATTCCTTCAGAACAACACTGAAAGTCCTTGATATCTGAACCAAAGGTCAGACCTGAGACATGTAAAAGAAAACCTTTGCAGTCTTTGAGATACACCTCATTCAGCTTCACTGAGCGTGAGGAAATCTGTGAGTGGATAACAAAAAAGCCTGGTGCTCTGCAAAGGTAGAAAAATAAAATGGGGTGGTTAAAATGTCTTCATTCTTCAAAAAAAAAAGTATATTTTTACTTCTAGTACTGGCAACAGAAAAAATGCTCGTCCACTGTCACAGCCGCTGAAGTGAGGACACAGTCTGATGCTAATTAAAAAATCATTAAAGGACTTTAAGAACTCCTGGTAGAATTTCTAAACCAACCCCCCCCCCCCCCCCAAGCCAGAGAAAGCAGGGAGGACTCTATGCTGCGCATCATGAAAGACTACTCATTCATTTGCCCTGCCTTGATTTACATCCTGCCACAACCAGCTGCCAGAGCCATTTTGTGCTGGAGTGTTTGGAGAGCTTAGGGGGGGCGGGCTGTTGAAGGCGTTTTAGAAAAGGCCTGTGTTCTTTTAATGTGACAGAAAGCTGAGCTCCAGAACCTCTCCTCAACGACATTTGCAGTTGGATCCAGCCTCGACCCGGCGCTCATGTTTTCAGGCCATAGAGTGAAGGAAGAGACGCGTGGCCAAGTGTCAGCAGGTTCCTGTAAACATATATAACCGCCCCATGCACCCGCCGCTTTATGCCAGAGGCAGCAGGAGAAAAATGGAGGTCTGAACTGTGACTTGTGTGTAGGAGGGGGAAAGATTGTAAGCGGCGGATGGCTATACCGTTGAAAAGAGGAAATGAGGAAGTGAGGGTGAAGGAGAGAGGGAAAATGGGGTGAGCGAGAGAGGTTTCCTAAGCTAATAAAATGCTCCGAGGGACGGAAGATGCCAGCCAGCATTCCTGTGCCATTAGATAAGTTAGCTCACTGCAGCCTCCAGTTTCTCTGCAGTGCTGAAGTGGCAAGCTGAGGTCACCACCGGGGGAGTGAATGGGGGGATGGTGGGGGCAATAAATTCAGAATGTTTTTGTGCACGGTCGTTGCGCCTAATCCTCTGAAGCTGTTTGGTTGGTGATTTAAATTTTGAATTTGCGTGCAAAAGCTGCAAATTACCATTCATCTGCCTCTAGCCTGCCGTCCACTCTGTGCTATGAGTTGTTGTTTTTTTCACATTTACATGAATTGTGTTTACTGCAGGGTTTCACTTGTGTGATTTTGTACAAATATGCATACTTAATATGACATTTTAATGACAAGCTGAGGAAAAGTATTTGGTGTCTTAAGGAGAAACGTACATAGTCGTGCGGTCTCCTGGAACTAATTTTAGATTTTTAAATGCGAGGTTGGGTATCGCACTCAAGCGCAGGTCGGATAGTGTAGCTCACACCGAGCGCCACCAACTTCACACTCGCCAAATGGCAACACAGAAGCATCTAAGTGTGATAGATCGCAGCAATACCGGTGAAGTCGAGGAGCTTCTCTCGCACACTCGGTCGCAGTCTGTCAAACTGAACCATTCACGTTGAATTGGTTTAACCCAGGAGCTTGTTTGTTTGTTTTTTTAGAAGCCGTAGTAGTAGATTCCTATTCTCCCCAAGGTAGTCAATTTCTGGGCTGCAAAGTGAGATAGAGGACTGCAAAAGAATATATATATTTGCCTCCAAATAATTCTCCTTCAGGGAAATCTCCTGGACTGTGAGACGGCTTATTTAAATGGAAAGGGTGTTGAGCGAATATTCCCCGGTAACCCCGGTGTGATCATTCTTAGTGAGACCTTCCACCAGTATCTTAAACAGGTTATAAAGGACCGACTGCAGTCGAGTCTGTTCAAAGTCATTTAGAAGATATCAGTCAGTCTTGCCCCTGCGGCTTTACTGTGTGAAGAAGATTAAAAAGGGATCTTTGACTTGTCTAACTGTCTGGCATGTGACACCCTTTAGCAAAGATCACCGCATTGATGCAGCAGCCACAATGCACTTTTTACTTCCTGTAAAACATTCTTTCTTGTGTTATTTTTCTATTGTCAGTTAACAGAAAATAAATGGCCTCTTTGTTCCCTCGTCTCACAGGCATGCTGGTGGTCAATGTCACTTGGAGAAACAAGACTTATGTGGGCACCCTGTTGGACTGCACACGGCATGACTGGGCCCCCCCCAGGTAAGCAGCATTCCTCTGTTCGGTTCTTATTTCAACCGGAGAAAGCAGAGTGACGTAGCAATATCTAAATATGCATCATCTAATCTGCACATGTTCTGTTAATGGTACATCGCCTGTGTGGTGTTGTTCACACTAAAGCTACACTCACTGGTTTTTCAAGGTATTTGCACTTTTACAAAGAATTTACTGTCACACATGGTAGTTGTAAATGTCAAGGTAGAGGAAAAAGAAAAGTCAGGATTTCCATGAATCATTGATGCAGTCTCTCTATCCAAGCTGCACTTGGTCTCTTAACCTTTTCACATTCTGTGTGATATGAATCTGCTCTAGTACCATCAGCTCAAGGATATACGGCCTAATGCACAAAGTTGCTCGTGTGCAGCTGGACCTTTCAAGTACATGTGAGCCTCTATCTGGAGTGTGGGGAAACGGGATTCATTGGCAATTGGCTGGTATCCCAGGAGGAAGTAGTGGAAATAGAAAGCTACTCTAACAAGCCAGATTGCAGAATCCAATTATTGGACTAATAGCTTTTCCTCAACACTGTATAACATTCTTTATCACCAAGGCTGCAATTTCTTAGATCAGTGTTATGTGGGCAGTTGCTTACGGTGTTTATCATTTCTGGGTATTTCCCTTTGTTATGCAAAATACACATACAATCGTGTGAAATACATTGCCAAGCACTTGCTTTGATTTAGGGCACCTGCACTGAATCTAAATGTAAATATAAATCTATATTTGAAATGCATGGTTAAGTGCAATAGGAAAAAAAATCAAGATTAAAGCCTGACTAATGGAAAACAAGGAGAGGCTGCATCACACTAATGTATAACAGTATATCACAATAATGTTCAGTAAGTGAGGTTTGCACAGTAAGTGAGGTTTGCACAGTAAGTGAGGTTTGCTGGGCTGTATTTGGACCAAGATAGTCTTACAGTTTGCAGTACGACTACATTAGGGACACACCATGAATAATTCAGGAAGCTTTCAGCAGACTGAATATAAACTTGGGCTTGTAATGAGTCTAAATTCTTCTACCACTGCCAGACTATGGATGTATTCACATCCCCTGCTGGGGTTGAAGTTGTTTGGAGAGACTTGTAGAGGAAGCTGTGAGTCATACCAGCCCGGTGTCTCTCGTTGACACAGATTCCTAACCTTCACTGCTGTGCAGAAAGATAATTACATTACTGTTATGGAGAGATAAGGCCAAACTGCTATTCTAAGTATTTCAGTGACGCGTAGTTTTGATTACAAAGCAGCTAGACCGTTCACTGCTGTCTTATCAAATGATGTTTACCTGCCTTTGAGTTGTCATGTGGCTTTGTACAAATTACTTACTCACTTACACTGCACAAAATATCCGATTGGTATGTTATGAGAGGACAGGGACAAAACAATGGCATACATACATATTTTGCTATAATTGCCATTGTTTATTAGGGGTTCTGGATTCAGAAAGACTTAAACCCCAGAGTATTGTCATCATTGGTATTACTATTATGACTTACTTTCTTAATTTCCTGAGAGACGATGTGTAATTGTGGAATGTAATTTGGCATGGCAGTGCAGTAAGTGACAGCGTATGGGAGACTCCCAATCAAAATATAACAAACTTTAGAAAGGTCAAGCAGAGAAGTAGCATCTTGTACAAACGTCTTGAATAGTGATGAACAATAATATCATAGGTTTAAAGGCCTTCAGAGAGCATAACCATTGCCAAAACCTTTTTCCCCCGTTACCATAAGAATCAAATGTTTTGGTTCTGTGTGGGGTACCTAGCAGATAATGAGAGTAGCAGGGGTTTACACAGTACCTGTGAAACACATCTGGACCTTCCAGATACAAGTGTATTTTACAAAAGATCACTTGTCACATCTTGATTACACACAGGAGTAGCTGTTTTTCCATTGTATCATCTAAGAAGCTAAACTAAAGCGCTGAACGAAAATCAACCATCACTAATTCTTCGACGTGATTTTTGCCACTCCTGCAGATTTTGTGAATCCCCAACAAGCGATCTGGAGATGAGGAATGGCCGTGGTCGAGGTAAGCGGATGAGACCAAATAGCAACACCCCTATCAATGAGAACAGCAACTCATCAGACAACAAGGGCACCACCAACAACAAGACGCGCGCTGCCTCTAACAGCAAGGGCCGGAGGGGCAGCCAGACGCCATCAGAGCGCCGCACCCCACCCAACAGCAACACTGAGGACATCAAGGCCAGCCCCTCCTCAGCTGGAAAACGTAAGATTAAACCAGCCTCGGATATGGAACCCAATTCCAGCTCAGAGGACACCAAAGGCAACAAACGTATGCGGACAAACTCCAACAGTGGTGTGGGACCAACAGGTCTCCCTATTCCTTCTATTAAGACGGAGCCACTTCCACCTCCTCTCGATCGCAGCTGCCCCTCTCCAGTTCTTATTGACTGCCCACATCCTAACTGCAACAAGAAGTACAAGCACATCAATGGTCTCAAGTACCACCAAGCCCGTGCCCACAATGATGATGACATAAAGTTGGAAATAGATGGAGACAGTGAATATGGAGAGGACTCAACTCTCCACCCTGAACCAGGGAACTGTAATGGAGCATCTATCTCTCAGAAAGGATGTTTGTCTCCGGCACGTTCAGTTACTCCAAAAGGCAGGAACTTTGATGCTCAAAGTCCTTCCCCATCTCCTGGCAAGTTTGGTTCAAAGCAGAGTAAAAAGAAATTTGCTGAGACAGATCCAGAAATGGGAGGTATCCCGACGGACGGGTGTGAGGATGGGCCATGCCTCACTGATGAGGCCAGTAACGATGGTATAGATGATAAGAGAGTATCAGACAAGTCTAAAAAGGCTGGCACAAAGGCTGATAAAATGGCTCAGAAAAACATGAAGTCACCACGGCCAGTTGGCCCTGGCTCGACAGCATCCCAGCAGATGTACCCTTTTCCTCCAGGAAACCCAAATTCTTCCCCGGGGCTTACCCCAATGATACAAGGGATTCCCAAGAGTCCCCAAATGAAGGGCACACAGCCTAAACCCCCTGCCATTGGAGAGCCTCCCTCAAGTAGCTCCAAAGACAAGAAGAAGAAAGACAAGAAGAAAAAAGATGGTGGGAAGGAGGCTGACAGCCCCAAGCCGCCGGGAAAGGGAGGGAAACTGGAGGAAGGGAAGCTTCCATACCCTGAAACTTCCGATCAAGGAAATAAGGGGGAAGGACTCCTCAATGGTTCCTCAGATCCTCACCAGAGTCGCTTGGCCAGTATCAAGGCTGAGGCTGACAAAATTTACAGTTTTTCTGACAATGCCCCTAGCCCATCCATTGGTGTAGCCAGTCGAATAGATGGCAGTGGTATGCCACAGCCTCTCACGCCACTTCACGCGGCGAACCAGAATGGTGCTGACAACTCCTCAGTCAAAACCAATAGCCCAGCATATTCAGACATTTCAGATGCTGGTGAGGATGGTGAAGGAAAATCTGATGGTGCCAAAGTCAGAACAGAGGACCAAGCTGTCAGGGAAAGTGTCAAAAAAGCGCTCTTTCCAAACCCGACACCCAGCAAAGATTCCCCGTACTATCCCAGCTATGACACTTATTACTCACCCAATTACGTAAACCCCAGTCCTGGTGGGCCCAATCCAGGCACGCTGGGGGCTGAAGGTCCGATTAAGATCAAAAGGGAAGAGGACCAGGACCAAGTTGAGGAAAAAGTCAAAGTTGAGGTTCATGAAGACCGCAAACCTGACATCATTGCTCTTAACCAGCAGCAACAACAGCAACAACAGCAGCAACAGCAACAGCAGCAGCAGCAACAGCAACAGCAGCAGCAGCAACAGCAGCAGCAGCAGCAACAGCAACAACAACAGCAGCAACAGCAACAACAACAACAGCAGCAACAACAACAACAGCAGCAGCATCAACCCTCAGTCATCCAACAGCGATCTAACATGTACATGCAACCTCTTTACTACAACCAGTATGCTTATGTCCCTCCATATGCATACCACCCCGATCAAGCCTACCATAACCACTTGATTAACACCAACCCAGCCTACCGGCAACAGTGTGAAGACCGGCAGCGACAGATGGCTGAACAGCATCGTGCTGAGAAGAAGTCAGACGTTGCTTTAAAAGAACGAGAAGCCTCCATGAAGGAGGAGTGGAAACAAAAGAGCCCAATGCCGCCAAGCCTCTCCAAAGCCCCAAGTCAGTCGGACCTTGGAAAGACATCGCAGCCCCCAAGCAAATCCAGGGACTCGCCCTCTGAGCCCTCCTCCAAATCCCTCGGAAGCATAAAGGGGGACGACCCAAAGTCCCAGCAAGCTGAGGGGCTAAAGATGAAGCTGACTGAAGGGGGCCACCACGGAAAGGAAGACTCCAAGCAAGCGCTGGAGTCCAGGGGTCAGGCAGGGATGGAGCAAGCCATGTGGTACAGACAGGTAAACACCAATCTAGTATAACAGTGTTAGAATATATGCTTGTGAACCTGTTGATGTGAGAATGTTTTAGAATTATTTCAATATGTAGATGCTGATTTGTGCTGACTTGGACCTTCTTTACCGCCTTCAGCAGTACCCCGAGAGCCAGAAGCCCCAAGCAGAAGACGAACACCAGCAACAACAACCTCGATGGAAAGATGAAAGGGACAGAGAGCGGGAACGCGACCGGAAAATAAAGGATGACCGGCCCAGGCCCAAGGACAGTCAAAGTGGGCTAAAGGAGGACGGCAAAGAGGGCAGTGATCCCAGAATCACTTCTGAGGACCATCGGGTCATGAGCAAAGACTCTCGTTCTAATCCCCACATGCAGTTCTCATCACCACTTGCACAGCACCAAGGCTACATGCCCTACATGCATGGTTACCCCTATGGACAAGGCTATGACCCCAACCACCCCGGATACAGGGGCATGCCCTCGGTCATGATGCAGAACTACCCAGGTATGACGTTAGACGAATAATATTTAATACACTCTTAGTAAGGAAGCACATGCAGTATGAATAAATAGTTATCTTTCAACCTTTTTTAATTAGTTTGAGCCGGTGACATTAGCCAGCTAATGTCATCTAGTTTGTAATATTCTTTTGGCTAATGACTTTAATCATTCATTTGGTGCAAGTCATCAGTGGTTTCTTGGTCAAATACATGCCAGACTAATATGAGCATTGATTTACAATGGTGATAAAGCTGTTGACCCTATCTCCATTGAAAGGAATATGAAGGAAAGGCAACATAGTCCACATAGCTTCAAGACTTAAATGTCTCTTACATTTTGCATGCATTGGCTCTAAGGATTTATTATTCTGTATCTTATAACTGTATGTGCTCGTCTCAGCAGGATGTCTTTTGTGATAATTTCAATTTTCTTCATAAAACTCGGATGTAATTTGCAGAAATGTTAGTGTTGTTTTACTTGAAATTGCAGTTGCGTTTGAAAATGGTAAAGCAGCATGAAATAACTGATGATGATGACGATAATTTGGTGGAGCTTAATGGGGCCAAAACACAGCATGGGAGTAATCTGCAAGGAAGTTGGATAGGTCAAGTCAATAAAGGATTGATTTTGTGGTTCTGAACAGGATTAGTAGATATGGAAAATGGCATATACTTGAAAAGGTTTTCTTCCAGAAATAGTGAGGGGGTTGGCAAAATCCTCCTGATATATGTTGCCCAAAGAATATAGTATACGTATACGTGTATCCACCACCAGACCAGGTATGGCAACCATCATGTTGATAGTTTGCACAGAGAAAAATGCTTCTCCACTTTCCGCTTGTTAAATGAAATGAAAACGCCAAATTCTGCAGTTGTTGTGAACTTTTTCATTTCCGAGATCAAAATGATCCCATGTAGATAAAATAAGCTGGTACTAGACTGTTTAACTGTCGGTACCTGGATATTAGGCAGATGTGACATTGAGTCCAGCAGTCAAAATGGACTGGTGACCTGAAATCAATTGTGATAACTATTCAGCTTGATTGATGTGAACATTAATGAATTATAGTCAATTTGTATTCCACATAAACCTAATTTTAAACCCTCAATATTCCTCATCACTCTTAGGTTCGTACCTTCCTGGAGGCTATCCGTTTTCTCCATATGGCACCAAAATAGCCGGAGGTGAAGAAAGCGGAGACAAATCTCGTGCCAGCCCCACTGTCACCAAAACGGCAGCGGACTCCAAAGCGCTGGATATCCTGCATCAGCACGCCAGCCAATACAAGAGCAAATCCCCCACAGTAGGTGACAAGCCACCCCACGAGAGGGAGAGGGAGCAGGACCGAGGAGCCGGGGGAGACAGAGATCGGGAGAGGGAGCGAGAGAGAGACGTGGACCGACCACGCTCCTCGCCCTCGCAGCGCATCATGCCCTCTCACCACCACCTGGGATACCCGCTGCTCTCGGGCCAATATGACCTGTCCTACGCCACAGGTCAGTCAGTCCTCAGCCGTCCCATCGCTTCACTAAATGTTATAAACATGCTTAATAAGGCACTATATATGCAAAGTAGATTAATGCCAGTTAGGTTAATACCAAAAAAAAAAGGCCCACAGTCAGAATATTTACTGTAAGTAGATGCAGACTGTTTTGGCAGATGACCAATCAGCAATCTAAATTCAGAACCTAAATAGGAATTTTCCAACTCGCCATAGGTCTCTCCTCGTCAGCTATTGTTGCCAGCCAACAAGCAGCAACCCCCTCCCTCTACCCACCACCGCGGAGGTGAGAACGGTAAGACCCCTTTAGAAGACGGTGAAACACAAGCCCACTGAGACACAAACTGACAGCGGTGTTTGCAAACGCAGGTGGCAGACTTCGTGCTTCACATGCAACTGTAGTTAGAAATATTAAGGTTAGGAGTGCTGGCACAGATTACTGTTCCTTTGTCGTGGCTTTATTTGATCTGAAGTGAAAAGAACACCCTGCTCTCGTTGCAGACTCGGAGGCAGCAACCTGCAATGAAAACAAATCCTGGCCAAACAAAGCCCTCACTGCTCTGCTGCAATCTAGTATAATATGCAGTGCAGCATTTAGCCCCTCAGCTCATCCATCCTAAGTAGGTCCTCTGAGGACAAGTGGATCATAGTGTTGATAATAGAGATGTGGAATGAGCCCGCCAGGACTCTAAACCGGAGCAGCCTGCACTGACATCTAGTGGCAGCTCTTTGAAATGACAACTGAGTCATTTGATTAATAAATATGTGGTGGTGATTCACCTTTATAGAGCAATACAGATAAATTACTTCCTCCAAAATAATCAGAAAGTTGAATCGACCTGGACATTATAACCTTCATGAAAGTGCAGTTTATTGCAGGACAATTGTTAGAATACAGTCTTAGCGAGGCGTACCCAATAGCTGCAGGTCTAGAAACGTACAATTATCAACGCCCAGCAGTGGAAGGAGTATTCAAATGCTTTACTTAGAAATACCACAGAAATATACTGCATTTCAAGTAAAAGTACAGTAGTATTATCAGGAAAATTTCCTTTAAAATCACAAGTAAAAGTACTCCAACATTCCCTTCCAGAGCGCTCCAGTATCATATATATATTATATTATTAATGTGTAAACAGTGTTTTAATGTTGTGGTTGGTCAGAGATGTTTTGTTAGTAAAATCTTAATCTATAAAGTAACTATTAAACATAGTTCCTAAATACAGGTGATGGAGATAAAAGTACATATTCCATCTGAAGTAGAAGTATTAAGTTCAAAGTACAAATACTGCGCTGCCTGCCTTTGTGTACATCCACGTATATAAAGCTTTTATTAAACATCACACCGTTGTTTCTGTTTTTAATGTAACTGATGAGGTGATCCGGTAGTAAAGACGTCTCCTTTGTGTTCCACAGGGAAACCTGACCGTCACACCTCAACCCTGCAAAGATTCATGTGACTGGCTCACATGAGATGGAGATCTCCCGGGAGTTACCTTTTAGACATCAGTTGAATGGTGTTTCTATACTTTTAGTTCTTCTGCCCCGAGGCTAGGCAGACTGTCTCTTTTTTTTTTTTTTTTTGTCCTACCCTCGTAAATGAGCCCAAATTTCCCCAAACCTTGGACTGAAACAGGACTGATAGTAACCCAGGTTCAAAGCCATCACTCTGCTGCACCACGCAGAGGAAACACCAACCCGCTGATTATCTAGTCTTTGCACTGTCAACAAATACAATGCAAAAAGAGACTATTGGACTGCCAGAACAGCTTTTTGTTGTTGTTTTTATTTCTTTCTTTCTCTGACTGCATTGTTTTTTTTTTGTCAAACGCAGAAGGAAATTGGCAGCGGACTATGATGAGTTGGGTGGCTGACGGGAAAGGGGAGTCAAACTAAATAAAAGACTGAAAAGAAAAAGAGAATCATATTGAAATGATTTCAACTCTGTCTTTGGCTTATTGTATGCCGTGAAACAACAGTATATACTTGACACATGTTTGGCTATATTTCGGGGGGGAGGGGGAATATGGCGACAGCTGCTTTCTTCAGAGACTGGAGAGCCTGAGACTGAAGTTTTTCATTTTCCATCATCATTGTCAGTCCCCATCCTCTTTGAACCCTCAGTTCTTGTTTCAGGGATGATGTCGTCATGTTTTTTTTTTGCAAAGGGGACCGCACACACCTCAATGGAGAATAAACACTATTCATGTTTTCTTTTCTTGGTAATGCTCCACCTCTACTCCATATCATTGTGCTCATCCTTGAATGTGTCTGATGCTGGTATGAGTCCTGTTTTCCCCTCACAATGAACGGGTCACATCCGTCGTTACACTCAAACGGTGAAGCCACATCAGCAAGCGATGAATTCACGTGTTGTTTTTCTCTCTGAATGATTGTGCTTCATTCAGCTCGTCTCTTTCAGTTGTTTTCTGTAAACAGTGTGAAACTTCATTCAACTCATGTATTTCTCTGCTGTAATATAGACTTTTAGCCTACTTTTCTGTGCATAAATGTTTATATTTATCCCGGCACGCAACTGCTTCAGAACTGCCACTGTTAAATAGCTTTCGGCCTTCGCAGCGTTTCACAATATGTGCTCAGATCGTTGTTTCCTGGACGTCTGGCTGTGCTTCTTCTTTGCTTGTCTTGCTGCACTTTTTGATTTTTCATTCTTTTGGCTTCTACAACGCATCACAAGCTTGCTCCGCACCTCACAATCATCCCAACACGCTGTCCACATCTTTTTCAGTGATTCAAACAAAAACAAACAAAAAAAAGTCAAAAGGGCGAAGATTTCTCTTGGTGCTTCACTTGCTCATGTGGCTTCACCATAAACACATATTCACCTCGGACGGTTAGCATGGGTTTCTTACAAGCGGCTAGCTTGAGGATCAGCTGGGCTAATGACACCTCAGACGATCAGCTTTCTTTGTTCAGTTGCTGTCTGTGCCGTTACATCAACACACTGGCACACGAAAGCATGAAATGACCTCAATGTTGAATGAAAGTGAAATGTCACACGAAACCAATGCGACGCAGACTATGAACTTAAAAGGACAAGTGTGTAGGATTCAGTGGCATCTATCGCAACCAACTGAATACCCCCGCCCTCTCCAAGCGCGTGGAAGAACCTACGGTGGCCTTCAGGTGCATTCGCGCCACCAAATTCAAGCTTCCACAGCGTAAAAAAAAAAACCCAGGAAAGGCCCTTTTCTAGAGCCTGTGTTTGGTTTGTCCGTTCTGGGCTACTGTACAAACATGGCTCCCTATGAAGACATGAAGGGCTCGTTCTAAGCTAACAAAAACACAATGGCTCTTAGTTTAGCATACTAATGAGTATTATTGCTGCTAAGATCCCCCTCAATCATATGCACTGGTCCTTTTTAAGCAAGTGAAAGGTGACCCTGATCCCGCACACATGGCAGAAGAAAGGAGGTTCAGAGTTCAGCTGAGAAGAAGCTCGAGGCTTTCCTTTTGGATCTCGAACTGGCGGCGCCACTCTGTAAATTCACTTTAAATCGACAGAAAGAAAAAAAAAAGCCCCGGTCGACCAGAGGACCCTCTTGGCTTTGAATTACAGTCCTCTTGTATCTCAGGGGTTGTAAGTGAAATTCTATCCAGATGCCATTTGCATTGATTTGAGAGGGCTTCTGTTTATGGATGTGAAGGATGTGCTGCTGTGGTGGTTTTCATTCATGACAGATTGGCTCAGCACAGGGACTCGCTAAAGGTCTCACTCGCACCATGCTGTTGTGGGCTGTGAACGGTCTGTATGTTCCTCTGACGCGTCGTAATGAGAGTAGAATATTGACCGCGTTGTCATTAAATTAAATTTGATTGATTTTGGTTTTTACACATGTAATGTTCCCATTGTTGTAGTTTTTTTTTTTTGTTTTGTTCTCATTAAATACTGTATGTGATCAAGTCCATAAGCCACCAGTTAACCTGATGCTTAACACCCTCTGAAGTTGGGTGTTAGCTGTTTGAGACTCAGTACTCATGGTTATGAAACTGCAGCGGCTCATTTCGAGGTTCTCGGACATTCCCAGTCAATAAGTTGCAGTTTCACGTCCCACGGAAGTTTGCAAGGTGGTTTATCTTTTGACTATTTGTGCATTTTAAAAGGAGGAATGGCTGACATGAGAAGGCTGAATGTGGTGGTGTTTGACTTGTACTTAATCTGTGAGGGTGATCTAGGCAGCTGTGATGTTGTCATTAAAGTCGGTGGGTTTTAGTACCAGCAGACTGCATACAGTACATATAGTTTTATCGGACAATGGTTGTGACAAGTGCATTTGTTCTCTCTCTCTCTCTCTCTCTGACAGAGTAGTAATGTTATCTCAGTAGTAAGCAAAGCCCAGTGAAAATCATATATACTGAAGTGTATGAAAAAGCCAGAAAAAGTCATGTTTTACTATCAACATATTGGAAAGTGCTTGGCTCTTGTATTTTGCAGGACTGTATTTGTATCATGGTGAAGAGTATATTTATTGGCCAGCAGTTGTCTCAATTGGTGCCTAGTTGAACATTCTTCTGTGAAAACACAGAGACACTTGCTCATTTGTCCTTTTCCCCCCAACCCACCTGCTGTCTCACCCCCCCCACCCCCAAAAGTACCCGTTCTGGTGCTTGCAAGGATGTTTACAATGTCTTCATTTTCTGTCTGTGTGAGCTATTCAGAACTCTTCACCCTTCTCCTCCTTTCTCCCTCCCTTCAGGAGTTTGTGTAAAGTGTACATTGCCATGGTTCTTTTTTATACAATACTCTGTAACTTGCCTTTGTAAATTTGGGCTGGAAAAAAATAAATCTTTTTATGAGACAATCTGTCCTGGGAACTGCTCAATGGCTTCTGCTCCGAGGATGCTGGGGGATTAAGATAGTAAAACTGTTCAATTATCCGAATGTCCTCAGATTGTTCAACTACTAGTAATCACTCCAGTATGTTTGTTCAGGTGGAATCTTCAAAATTATATTTGTACGCTTGAAAGTCGAGAAAACAAAGTTTTCATGGAACAATTATTTCACTTTGGAGACTATTTTAGTTATTTGATGAAGGGTTTTAATAAAGAATAAATAGTTTGCCACACAGGTTGATCTTTGAGTCGTTTACATTAAATTTGTTTAAAAACCCTTGTGCTGTCCTGGGGTCAAAAATGACCCCAGGACAGCACAAAATGTTCTAAATAAATGAGACATCATATTTTTGGTTTAATATTGAATGACTTTTCCTAATTTAATGGGGACAACTGGGTAAACACAAACTCAACATGTTGATATGTAAAGTTATATGTAAAGCCATTAAAACACCCAAAAAATATCTCTTTCCAATTTTAGGTCAATCAGTGAGATTTCATGGTGTTAGTCCCGTAACAGGGATTCTGGATGTATACGGGTTTGGGTGTCGGGGGGGGTTGTTTTATTTAAAGGGCTATTTAGGTAGTCAACAAAAAACTAAGTACTTGACACATAAACTTGGGTAGCAATTTTAATTACAATAATGTTCTGCAGGTTCAAATTGCTGGGGTCAAAAATGACCCCAGGATAACAGGTGTTAGTAAATTTGAAGGTAACAGGAGGGTTAAATGTTGCAGAAATGAATGTTGACATGTTTTATATGTCAGGTAATGACTTGGAATAAAGTTGACTAAGGAGTTGAAACACAGAGGTGGGTGATAATTTATACTGTATGCTTTATAAACAGTCAAACCTGACGGGGTCATTTTTGACCCCAGAGGACAACAGGTGTGATTATGTGCTGCCATTAGAAAAATTCAAATGATTCAAGAACAGCATCCTCACTAAACTTTGATATGTACCTCTCTGTGATAAGTCAAATAGTAAAATATAATATAAAGTCAAAATAATTCATTGTTTCATTGTATTTTCACTCAAAAACAGGGTATACTTTTATGTAAACAAGGTCTATTGGCCCTAAATTCCAAAATGAAGGGAACGATTTGTGGTAATGTGTTGGACTGAAGTAAGACTAAAGGTGTAAAACAGAATTGATTGACAATTTATACTATATGCTTTAAAAACGGTCAAACCAGGTGGGGTCATTTTTGACCCCAGAGGACAACAGGTGTATGGCAGTCAGGAGGACAACACAAGGGCTAAAGATTTTTTTGTCTAAAATCACCAGAATGGAAGTTTCCAACATTGCTTATTAATTAATGTTCCTTTCCTGAGAGAAGTTGAAGATGCTAGAAAAGCTCATTAGAAAATGGAAACTGCAGTGTTGCACTTGACCACAGGAGAGCAGTGTCTCTAAAGACGCCACACAGTCGATCTCAGCTGGGTCAAAAGTCAGATTGAGTCTGTTTTTAGGGAGTTTTACTGCTGACTAACTTCCTTGGTTCAACACAATATAAATGCCATTTATTTCAATATACATGCTGTTTATGACACTTTTTTGCATCTATGTGACACATGTTTGTACGGTTTCAGTTTGAGCATGTAGTAAACAAAAGAAAGTGACACATCTGATCAATTCATCTTGTAAAGATGCAAGATTGGGAGCATTTTAGTTGCCTCTCAACGGCTCTCAACATGGCGAAGACGAGCCGGCGGCTCACAGCTACCGGCGCAAACAACGGCGCACGTCAACGGCGCAGGGAGATGCTCGGATAACAACAGGAGAGTGACTTCATTCTCTGCTCAGGTAGACATTACTCCACTTTATCTTGACACTAAACGGTGTCTGGTGCTATATTAATGCTCTGGATGTTAAATACAGCTCCCTTAAAGTCCCCCTTTAGTCTGTTCTCACAATCATCTGCTGAAGGAGGAAAGTTTCTCTGTTTCTCACCAAAAACTCGTTGTTTGTATCCTCGAGCTCCAGCAAACGCGGTCGAGTCTGTTTAAATCCTCGTAAAACATTTGCAAAGTACATTTTTCTTAATTCGCCATTGTTGACATCCTCGTGTACCAGCCTGCAGTCTGCTTCATCCCCGCCTTTGCTGGTGCATTGCAGCACATCCTGGCGTGTTACCGCCACCTGTTGATGAGTGAAATGGTGAAATAGCAAACACACACAACAGCACAGCTGGAGGTTAGAAACACCACAGGGAACCATTAAATCCCAGTGTAACACGTGTTTGTACCAGCAGGAGTCTGTGCCAGTTGTCCTTCATATTAGGGAGAAGCAGTAGATGTGAATTTTAAGAGTTTGTAAGTAGATTAGTTCTTTACAGAGTATCTCTATATGTCTTTAAACATGACTGTGGGGGATCTTTCAGTCAATAATCATGCAAAAATGCTGCAAATCTGCTGTCTCAAATGTGAGGCTTTGTTTATAATTTGAAGTTAAATATCTTTGGGGTTTGGACTACTGATCAGACAAATTATGCAATTTCTAGATAACCTTAAACTCTGTAAAACTGTGGAGAGCATTTTCACAGATCAATGGCAATTTATAGACTTAATAAATAAATAAATAAATGAAACGTTCATTCGTTGCATCAACCCTAGGAGTGCCAACTGTCAATCAGTCCACTCTCTTCACTCTTCACCACTTTAACTTACTTACTGTTACATTATTTACATTATTTATATACTTCATCTGCTGTGGCATTCACTGCCATCAGTCAATTTAAGGGTATTTTTAACTGCCCCTAATGCTCTTGAACTGAGAGTGCATTAGCATAATGCAACATCAGTGACAGGCAGCGATTACGCTGGGGATGATTTTGTTGAGTGTAAATGTGAAATCTGATTATCCTCGATGCTCTCAGCTCCGCAGAGGGAGGAGGAGGGGCCGAGGAGAGAGAGAGAGAGAGAGAGAGAGAGAGGTTGGCTGGAGGAGAGATTCAGAGGGAAGGAGGGGTTAAGATAGCAAAGTGCTGAGCCAATGTCTTTCTGTACAGAGCAGCTGGCTGGCATCAGGACAGGACAGGCCGCTCGGAGGAAGGATACCTTGAGAACGGCTCTTCTCTGCTCGCTGTAGGACGCTGAGGGAGACGTCCAGGAGGTGTTCATGGGATGCACTATCTACGCAGCCAGCCCTAAGGCCCTGCCTGCCGACGAGGCCCCAGGCCAGGACAGATACTACCAGCTCCCCCACTACCGCCTCCCTCATGGTAACTGCAGTCAGAGGATAGCAGCCGGCAGAGCCAGGTCAGTCAGCACCACACAGGAAGTGCGCTGAATGTTTGGCATGCTTTGTCTTGAGTTGCACTGACGAGGGGGGAATCCGGGTAGAAGCAAGTTATTCAGTCAGTGGTCCTCGTTCCATCTCGACCAATTACAGAGGAGATGTGGAGAATGAGAGGGATGCACAGAAACGCGAACATCAGGAAGACGTCCCTTGTGATTTGTCGTTTTACATTCAGGGTATACATTTAGAAAAACGACTAACTGTACAAAATAAGATTTAAATATATGAATTAAAATGTACATAATGAAGACAGAAATGCAC